GGAGCCCCCTTTCTAACAAAAAAATAATCAGAAATCGGACAACATAGTAAAGAATTGTCGCTGAATATCCATAAAAAAATATATTCCAATGAATTGAAAACCTACTTCATTTTTAAAGTCTGTTAAAAATAGAAAATACATTGGAAATATTACCACAGTAAATGGGGTTTGCACACATGATAAAAACTAAACATATTTTTAATTATGTACTTCTATTTGAAAAAATAATGTACAGTAGAAAGAAATATGCTTTTCTATGACAAACGGGAAGAGAAAATGTAAAGTAAGTACAAGGAAAAATAGTTTTAGTTTATATAAAAGGGACAAACTATATTTAAATACTGTTGCTTTAAACCACAAATCACAGATTTTTAATCGAGCACTACTAGAAGGGCAGTTAAATGAGTATTTTCCAGTGACTTACTGGAACCTTTTCTTCATTTAAGCCATTCTATTTATTTTAAGAAATTATATTCATGTGTAAAACATTTTTTCTCTGAACCGACTGTTCTTGCTTCTGTCTATTAAAAAATATGAGCCGATGTCTAAAAAAGATAGGGATAGTGTTAACATTTAACCATAGTCGTAAAGGTTGAGCCTCAATTTCATTTTTTACTTTATTTGTAATTAATTTTCGAAAAAATATTACCAAATTAACTTCATTATTTTAAAAATCTCCCGTGATCAGCTGTGAAGCGACAGACTGTCAGTTGGAAAAGCGTCGTTGCCAGTTTTAATCTCAGTTAGTTATTTGTTCTTTAGCTAACGAGAGATTTTAACAATCGTTCTTGCAACCGGCTGATAGACACATAATTCAAAGCATCCAAAGTCCTGCATTTTCGCCATTAAGAAGAAAAGAAGTGGCCGAAGAATATAGAAAACACCTTAGCATTGTAACTAAAATGTATCAAAACTAAACCTATTATGTGAACAAATAAAAACCAGTCTGTCAAAAATGGTCTGTTATTGTAAACGTCAAAAAATTTCCAGTATAATTCGCTGTTGGGTACCCCACGAGAAAAAAATTTCCACTAAAATACCTCCGTTGCCATGGTGATCTGTCAAAAACACGTATTTTGATTGGTTCAAAATTACAGGTGTGGAATTTTCAAA